ATAATAATAATAATATAATAAGAATGATAATAATAATATAACCTGTGTGATGTCCTCCCCCGATCGCTCTCTATATAGAGTATAATAATAATAATAATAATAATAATAATAATAATAATAATAATATAACCTGTGTGATGTCCTCGACCCCGGTCGCTCTCTATATCCAGTATAATAATAATAATAATATAATAAGAATGATAATAATAATATAACCTGTGTGATGTCCTCCCCCGGTCGCTCTCTATATACAGTATAATAATAATAATAATAATAATAATAATATAATAAGAATGATAATAATAATATAACTTGTGTGATGTCCTCCCCCCGGTCACACTCTATATACAGTATATTATTATTATTATTATTATTAATATAACCTGTGTGATGTCCTCCCCCCCAGTCGCTCTCTATATACAGTATAATAATAATAATAATGTAACCAGTGTGATGTCCTCCCCCCGGTCACTCTCTATATACAGTATAATAATAATAATAATACTATAATAATAATGTAACCTGTGTGATGTCCTCACCCCGGTGTCTCCTCGCCCCCGGTCACTCTCTATATACAGTATAATAATAATAATAATAATAATAATATAATAATAATATAACCTGTGAGATGTCCTCCCCCCGGTTACTCTCTGTATGCAGTATAATAATAATAATAATAATAATATAATAAGAATGATAATAATAATATAACCTGTGTGATGTCCTCCCCCGGTCGCTCTCTATATACAGTATAATAATAATAATAATAATAATAATAAAATAAGAATGATAATAATAATATAACCTGTGTGATGTCCTCCCCCCGGTCACTCTCTATATACAGTATAATAATAATAATAATAATAATAATATAACCTGTGTGATGTCCTCCTCCCAGTCGCTCTCTATATACAGTATAATAATATAATATAATAATATAACCTGTGTGATGTCCTCCCCCAGTCACACTCTATATACAGTATAATAATAATAATAATATAATAATAATAATAACCTGTGAGATGTCCTCCCCCCAGTCACTTTCTATATACAAAATAATAATAATAATAATAATAATAATAATAATATAACCTGTGTGATGTCCTCCCCCGGTCGCTCTCTATATACAGTATAATAATAATAATATAATAAGAATGATAATAATAATATAACCTGTGTGATGTCCTCCCCCTGGTCACTCTCTATATACAGTATTAAGTATAATAATAATAATAATAATAATAATAATAATAATATAACCTGTGTGATGTCCTCCCCCCCAGTCGCTCTCTATATACAGTATAATAATAATAATATAATAATAATAATAATAATAATAACCTGTGAGATGTCCTCCCCCCGGTCACTTTCTATATACAGTATAAAAATAATGTAATAATAATAATAATAATAATAATAATATAACCTGTGTGATGTCCTCGACCCCGGTCGCTCTCTATATAGAGTATAATAATAATAATAATAATAATAATAATAATAATATAACCTGTGTGATGTCCTCCCCCGGTCGCTCTCTATATACAGTATAATAATAATAATAATAATAATAATAATAATAATAATATAATAAGAATGATAATAATAATATAACCTGTGTGATGTCCTCCCCCGATCGCTCTCTATATAGAGTATAATAATAATAATAATAATAATAATAATAATAATAATAATAATATAACCTGTGTGATGTCCTCGACCCCGGTCGCTCTCTATATCCAGTATAATAATAATAATAATATAATAAGAATGATAATAATAATATAACCTGTGTGATGTCCTCCCCCGGTCGCTCTCTATATACAGTATAATAATAATAATAATAATAATATAATAAGAATGATAATAATAATATAACTTGTGTGATGTCCTCCCCCCGGTCACACTCTATATACAGTATATTATTATTATTATTATTATTAATATAACCTGTGTGATGTCCTCCCCCCCAGTCGCTCTCTATATACAGTATAATAATAATAATAATGTAACCAGTGTGATGTCCTCCCCCCGGTCACTCTCTATATACAGTATAATAATAATAATAATACTATAATAATAATGTAACCTGTGTGATGTCCTCACCCCGGTGTCTCCTCGCCCCCGGTCACTCTCTATATACAGTATAATAATAATAATAATAATAATAATATAATAATAATATAACCTGTGAGATGTCCTCCCCCCGGTTACTCTCTGTATGCAGTATAATAATAATAATAATAATAATATAATAAGAATGATAATAATAATATAACCTGTGTGATGTCCTCCCCCGGTCGCTCTCTATATACAGTATAATAATAATAATAATAATAATAATAAAATAAGAATGATAATAATAATATAACCTGTGTGATGTCCTCCCCCCGGTCACTCTCTATATACAGTATAATAATAATAATAATAATAATAATAATAATATAACCTGTGTGATGTCCTCCTCCCAGTCGCTCTCTATATACAGTATAATAATATAATATAATAATATAACCTGTGTGATGTCCTCCCCCAGTCACACTCTATATACAGTATAATAATAATAATAATATAATAATAATAATAACCTGTGAGATGTCCTCCCCCCAGTCACTTTCTATATACAAAATAATAATAATAATAATAATAATAATAATAATATAACCTGTGTGATGTCCTCCCCCGGTCGCTCTCTATATACAGTATAATAATAATAATATAATAAGAATGATAATAATAATATAACCTGTGTGATGTCCTCCCCCTGGTCACTCTCTATATACAGTATTAAGTATAATAATAATAATAATAATAATAATAATAATAATATAACCTGTGTGATGTCCTCCCCCCCAGTCGCTCTCTATATACAGTATAATAATAATAATATAATAATAATAATAATAATAACCTGTGAGATGTCCTCCCCCCGGTCACTTTCTATATACAGTATAAAAATAATGTAATAATAATAATAATAATAATAATAATATAACCTGTGTGATGTCCTCGACCCCGGTCGCTCTCTATATAGAGTATAATAATAATAATAATAATAATAATAATAATAATATAACCTGTGTGATGTCCTCCCCCGGTCGCTCTCTATATACAGTATAATAATAATAATAATAATAATAATAATAATAATATAATAAGAATGATAATAATAATATAACCTGTGTGATGTCCTCCCCCGATCGCTCTCTATATAGAGTATAATAATAATAATAATAATAATAATAATAATAATAATAATAATATAACCTGTGTGATGTCCTCGACCCCGGTCGCTCTCTATATCCAGTATAATAATAATAATAATATAATAAGAATGATAATAATAATATAACCTGTGTGATGTCCTCCCCCGGTCGCTCTCTATATACAGTATAATAATAATAATAATAATAATAATAATATAATAAGAATGATAATAATAATATAACTTGTGTGATGTCCTCCCCCCGGTCACACTCTATATACAGTATATTATTATTATTATTATTATTAATATAACCTGTGTGATGTCCTCCCCCCCAGTCGCTCTCTATATACAGTATAATAATAATAATAATGTAACCAGTGTGATGTCCTCCCCCCGGTCACTCTCTATATACAGTATAATAATAATAATAATACTATAATAATAATGTAACCTGTGTGATGTCCTCACCCCGGTGTCTCCTCGCCCCCGGTCACTCTCTATATACAGTATAATAATAATAATAATAATAATAATATAATAATAATATAACCTGTGAGATGTCCTCCCCCCGGTTACTCTCTGTATGCAGTATAATAATAATAATAATAATAATATAATAAGAATGATAATAATAATATAACCTGTGTGATGTCCTCCCCCGGTCGCTCTCTATATACAGTATAATAATAATAATAATAAAATAAGAATGATAATAATAATATAACCTGTGTGATGTCCTCCCCCCAGTCACTCTCTATATACAGTATAATAATAATAATAATAATAATAATAATAATAATATAACCTGTGTGATGTCCTCCCCCCCCCCCAGACGCTCTCTATATACAGTATAATAATAATAATATAATAATAATAATAACCTGTGAGATGTCCTCCCCACGGTCACTTTCTATATACAGTATAAAAATAATGTAATAATAATAATAATAATAATAATAATATAACCTGTGTGATGTCCTCGACCCCGATCTCTCTCTATATAGAGTATAATAATATACAGTATAATAATAATAATAATAATAATAATAATAATATAAGAAGAATGATAATAATAATATAACCTGTGTGATGTCCTCCCCCGGTCGCTCTCTATATACAGTATAATAATAATAATAATAATAATAATAATAATATAATAAGAATGATAATAATAATATAACCTGTGTGATGTCCTCCCCCCCCAGTCGCTCTCTATATACAGTATAATAATAATAATAATAATAATGTAACCTGTGTGATGTCCTCCCCCCGGTCACTCTCTATATACAGTATTATAATAATAATAATAATAATAATAATAATAATATAATAATGTAACCTGCGTGATGTCCTCCCCCCGGTGTCTCCTCACCCCCGGTCACTCTCTATATACTCTCCCCCCGGTTACTCTCTGTATGCAGTATAATAATAATAATAATAATAATAATAATAATAATAATAATAATATAATAAGAATGATAATAATAATATAACCTGTGTGATGTCCTCCCCCGGTCGCTCTCTATATACAGAATAATAATAATAATAATAATATAATAAGAATGATAATAATAATATAACCTGTGTGATGTCCTCCCCCCGGTCACTCTCTATATACAGTATAATAATAATAATAATAATAATAATAATATAACCTGTGTGATGTCCTCCCCCCCGTCACTCTCTATATACAGTATAATAATAATAATAATATAATAATAATGTAACCTGTGTGATGTCCTCCCCCCGGTGTCTCCTCGGCCCCGGTCACTCTCTATATACAGTATAATAATAATAATAATAATATAACCTGTGAGATGTCCTCCCCCCGGTTACTCTCTGTATGCAGTATAATAATAATAATAATAATAATAATAATGTAACCTGTGTGATGTCCTCCCCCCAGTCACTCTCTATATACAGTATAATAATAATAATAATAATAATAATAATAATAATAATAATATAACCTGTGTGATGTCCTCCCCCCAGTCGCTCTCTATATACAGTATAATAATATAATATAATAATATAACCTGTGTGATGTCCTCCCCCAGTCACACTCTATATACAGTATAATAATAATAATAATATAATAATAATAATAATAACCTGTGAGATGTCCTCCCCCCGGTCACTTTCTATATACAGTATAATAATAATAATAATAATAATAATAATAATATAACCTGTGTGATGTCCTCCCCCCAGTCGCTCTCTATATACAGTATAATAATATAATATAATAATATAACCTGTGTGATGTCCTCCCCCAGTCACACTCTATATACAGTATAATAATAATAATAATATAATAATAATAATAATAACCTGTGAGATGTCCTCCCCCCGGTCACTTTCTATATACAGTATAAAAATAATGTTATAATAATAATAATAATAATAATAATATAACCTGTGTGATGTCCTCGACCCCGGTCGCTCTCTATATAGAGTATAATAATAATAATAATAATAATAACCTGTGAGATGTCCTCCCCCCGGTCACTTTCTATATACAGTATAAAAATAATGTAATAATAATAATAATAACCTGTGTGATGTCCTCCCCCCAGTCACTCTCTATATACAGTATAATAATAATAATAATAATAATAATAATATAACCTGTGTGATGTCCTCCCCCCCCAGTCCCTCTCTTTATACAGTATAATAATAATAATAATAATAATAATAATAATATAATAATGTAACCTGTGTGATGTCCTCCCCCCGGTGTCTCCTCGCCCCCGGTCACTCTCTATATACAGTATAATAATAATAATAATAATAATAATATAACCTGTGAGATGTCCTCCCCTCGGTTACTCTCTGTATGCAGTATAATAATAATAATAATAATAATAATATAATAAGAATGATAATAATAATATAACCTGTGTGATGTCCTCCCCCGGTCGCTCTCTATATACAGTATAATAATAATAATAATAATAATAATAATAATAATATAATAAGAATGATAATAATAATAATATAACCTGTGTGATGTCCTCCCCCTGGTCACTCTCTATATACAGTATAATAATAATAATAATATAATAACCTGTGTGATGTCCTCCCCCCCCAGTCGCTCTCTATATACAGTATAATAATAATAATAATAATGTAACCTGTGTGATGTCCTCCCCCCGGTCACTCTCTATATACAGTATAATAATAATAATAATAATAATAATAATGTAACCTGTGTGATGTCCTCCCCCCGGTGTCTCCTCGCCCCCGGTCACTATCTATATACAGTATAATAATAATAATAATAATAATATAACCTGTGAAATGTCCTCCCCTCGGTTACTCTCTGTATGCAGTATAATAATAATAATAATAATATAATAATAATGTAACCTGTGTGATGTCCTCCCCCCAGTCACTCTCTATATACAGTATAATAATAATAATAATAATAATATAACCTGTGAGATGTCCTCCCCCCGGTTACTCTCTGTATGCAGTATAATAATAATAATAATAATAATAATAATAATATAACCTGTGAGATGTCCTCCCCCCGGTTACTCTCTGTATGCAGTATAATAATAATAATAATAATAATATAATAATAATGTAACCTGTGTGATGTCCTCCCCCCAGTCACTCTCTATATACAGTATAATAATAATAATAATAATAATAATAATAATAATAATATAACCTGTGAGATGTCCTCCCCCCGGTTACTCTCTGTATGCAGTATAATAATAATAATAATAATAATAATAATAATAATAATAATAATATAATAATGTAACCTGTGTGAAGTCCTCCCCCGGTCACTCTCTATATACAGTATAATAATAATAATAATAATAATAATATAACCTGTGTGATGTCCTCCCCCCAGTCGCTCTCTATATACAGTATAATAATAATAATAATAATAATATAATAATAATAATAATATAACCTGTGTGATGTCCTCCCCCCAGTCACTCTCTATATACAGTATAATAATAATAATAATAATAATAATAATAATAATAATATAACCTGTGTGATGTCCTCCCCCCGGTCGCTCTCTATATACAGTATAATAATAATAATATAATAATAATAATATAACCTGTGTGATGTCCTCCCCCCGGTCGCTCTCTATATACAGTATAATAATAATAATAATAATGATGATGATATTATAACCTGTGTGATGTCCTCCCCCCGGTGTCTCCTCGCCCCCGGTCACTCTCTATATACAGTATAATAATAATAATAATAATAATAATAATAATATAACCTGTGTGATGTCCTCCCCCCGGTCACTCTCTATATACAGTATAATAATAATAATAATAATAATAATAATAACCTGTGTGATGTCCTCCCCCCGGGTCACTCTCTATACACAGTATAACAATAATAATAATAATAATAATATAATATAATAACCTGTGTGATGTCCTCCCCCCAGTCGCTCTCTATATACAGTATAGTATAATAATAATAATAATAATAATAATAATAATAATAATATAACCTGTGTGATGTCCTCCCCCCAGTCGCTCTCTATATACAGTATAATAATAATAATAATAATAATAATAATAATGATGATGATGATGATATTATAACCTGTGTGATGTCCTCCCCCCGGTGTCTCCTCGCCCCCGGTCACTCTCTATATACAGTATAATAATAATATAATAATAATATAACCTGTGTGATGTCCTCCCCCCCAGTCACTCTCTATACACAGTATAATAATAATAATAATAATAATAATAATAATAATAATAATAATATAACCTGTGTGATGTCCTCCCCCCGGTCACTCTCTATACACAGTATAATAATAATAATAATAATAATAATAATGATATTATAACCTGTGAGATGTCCTCCCCCCGGTCACTCTCTATATACAGTATAATAATAATAATAATAATAATAATAATAATATAACCTGTGTGATGTCCTCCCCCCGGTCACTCTCTATATACAGTATAATAATAATAATAATAATAATAATAATAACCTGTGTGATGTCCTCCCCCCGGGTCACTCTCTATACACAGTATAACAATAATAATAATAATAATAATATAATATAATAACCTGTGTGATGTCCTCCCCCCAGTCGCTCTCTATATACAGTATAATAATAATAATAATAATAATAATAATAATAATAATATAACCTGTGTGATGTCCTCCCCCCGGTCACTCTCTATACACAGTATAATAATAATAATAATAATAATAATAATATAACCTGTGTGATGTCCTCCCCCCGGTCACTCTCTATACACAGTATAATAATAATAATAATAATAATAATAATAATGATATTATAACCTGTGAGATGTCCTCCCCCCGGTCACTCTCTATATACAGTATAATAATAATAATAATAATAATAATAATGATGATGATGATGATATTATAACCTGTGTGATGTCCTCCCCCCGGTCACTCTCTATATACAGTATAATAATAATATAATAATAATATAACCTGTGTGATGTCCTCCCCCCCAGTCACTCTCTATACACAGTATAATAATAATAATAATAATAATAATAATAATATAACCTGTGTGATGTCCTCCCCCCAGTCACTCTCTATATACAGTATAATAATAATAATAATAATAATAATAATAATAATATAACCTGTGTGATGTCCTCCCCCCGGTCGCTCTCTATATACAGTATAATAATAATAATATAATAATAATAATATAACCTGTGTGATGTCCTCCCCCCGGTCGCTCTCTATATACAGTATAATAATAATAATAATAATGATGATGATATTATAACCTGTGTGATGTCCTCCCCCCGGTGTCTCCTCGCCCCCGGTCACTCTCTATATACAGTATAATAATAATAATAATAATAATAATAATAATATAACCTGTGTGATGTCCTCCCCCCGGTCACTCTCTATATACAGTATAATAATAATAATAATAATAATAATAATAACCTGTGTGATGTCCTCCCCCCGGGTCACTCTCTATACACAGTATAACAATAATAATAATAATAATAATATAATATAATAACCTGTGTGATGTCCTCCCCCCAGTCGCTCTCTATATACAGTATAATAATAATAATAATAATAATAATAATAATAATAATATAACCTGTGTGATGTCCTCCCCCCAGTCGCTCTCTATATACAGTATAATAATAATAATAATAATAATAATAATAATGATGATGATGATGATATTATAACCTGTGTGATGTCCTCCCCCCGGTGTCTCCTCGCCCCCGGTCACTCTCTATATACAGTATAATAATAATATAATAATAATATAACCTGTGTGATGTCCTCCCCCCCAGTCACTCTCTATACACAGTATAATAATAATAATAATAATAATAATAATAATAATAATAATAATATAACCTGTGTGATGTCCTCCCCCCGGTCACTCTCTATACACAGTATAATAATAATAATAATAATAATAATAATGATATTATAACCTGTGAGATGTCCTCCCCCCGGTCACTCTCTATATACAGTATAATAATAATAATAATAATAATAATAATAATAATAATAATGATGATGATGATTATATTAAAACCTGTGTGATGTCCTCCCCCCGGTGTCTCCTCGCCCCCGGTCACTCTCTATATACAGTATAATAATAATAATAATAATAATAATAATAATAATATAACCTGTGTGATGTCCTCCCCCCGGTCGCTCTCTATATACAGTATAATAATAATAATATAATAATAATAATATAACCTGTGTGATGTCCTCCCCCCGGTCGCTCTCTATATACAGTATAATAATAATAATAATAATAATGATGATGATGATATTATAACCTGTGTGATGTCCTCCCCCCGGTGTCTCCTCGCCCCCGGTCACTCTCTATATACAGAATAATAATAATAATAATAATAATAATAATAATAATAATATAACCTGTGTGATGTCCTCCCCCCGGTCACTCTCTATACACAGTATAATAATAATAATAATAATAATAATAATAATAATAATAATATTATAATATAATAACCTGTGTGATGTCCTCCCCCCAGTCGCTCTCTATATACAGTATAATAATAATAATAATAATAATAATAATAATAATAATAATATAACCTGTGTGATGTCCTCCCCCCGGTGTCTCCTCGCCCCCGGTCGCTCTCCCTCCTCCTCCTCCCACGAGTCGCTCTCGGTTTCCGCCATGCTGTGTCTCACGGGGCCGCAGAGCCAGGGCCGGGGGAGGACCAGACAGGGCAGCACGGTGCCGGTGGGGGGGGAGCTCTGCCGGACCGGGAAACGAAACCGAAACCGGGAGATGACGTCATGGGCGGGGCGCAGCCTGATTGCGTCACACCGGGGGGAGAGAGAGAGAGAGAGAGAATGAGACTGAGAGGGATAGACTGAGCCAGGGAGAGAGAGAGACTGAGCCAGGGAGAGAGATAGAGACAGAGAGGGATAGACTGAGCCAGGGAGAGAGAGAGAGAGGGATAGACTGAGCCAGGGAGAAATGGAGAGAGACTGAGCCAGGGAGAGAGATATAGACTGAGCCAGGGAGAGAGCTAGAGAGAAAGATGGAGAGAGAGCTAGAGAGAAAGATGGAGAGAGACTGAGACAGAGAGTGCTAGAGAGAAAGATGGACAGAGACTGAGACAGAGAGAGCTAGAGAGAAAGGTGGAGAGAGACAGAGAGAGAGCTAGAGAGAAAGATGGAGAGAGACTGAGAAAGATGGAGAGAGACTGAGACAGAGAGGGATAGACTGAGACAGGGAGAGAGAGCGAGAGAGAGAGAGATGGAGAGAGACTGAGACAGAGAGGGATAGATTGAAACTGGGAGAAATGGAGAGAGACTGAGACAGGGAGAGAGCTAGAGAGAAAGATGGAGAGAGACAGAGAGAAAGATGGAGAGAGACAGAGAGAGAGCTAGAGAGAAAGCTGGAGAGAGAGAGCTAGAGAGAAAGATGGAGAGAGACTGAGACAGAGAGAGCTAGAGAGAAAGATGGAGAGAGACAGAGAGAGAGAGAGAGAGAAAGAGGGAGAGAGAGTGAGACAGAGAGAGCTAGAGAGAAGATGGAGAGACTGAGAAAGAGAGAGCCAGAGGAGAAAGATGGAGAGAGACTGGCACAGAGAGGATAGATCGAGACAGGCAGAGAGAGAGAAAGATGGAGAGAGACTGAGACAGAGAGAGAGAGCTAGAGAGAAAGATGGAGAGAGACAGAGAGAGAGCTAGAGAGAAAGATGGAGAGAGACTGAGAAAGAGAGAGCTAGAGAGAAAGATGGAGAGAGACTGAGACAGAGAGGGATAGACTGAGACAGGGAGAGAGAGAGAGAGAAAGATGGAGAGAGACTGAGACAGAGAGGGATAGATTGAAACTGGGAGAAATGGAGAGAGACTGAGACAGGGAGAGAGCTAGAGAGAAAGATGGAGAGAGAGCTAGAGAGAAAGATGGAGAGAGACAGAGAGAAAGATGGAGAGAGACAGAGAGAGAGCTAGAGAGAAAGATGGAGAGAGACTGAGACAGAGAGAGCTAGAGAGAAAGATGGAGAGAGACAGAGAGAGAGCTAGAGAGAAAGATGGAGAGAGACTGAGACAGAGAGAGCTAGAGAGAAAGATGGAGAGAGACTGAGACAGAGAGAGCTAGAGAGAAAGATGGAGAGAGAGCTAGAGAGAAAGATGGAGAGAGACTGAGACAGAGAGAGCTAGAGAGAAAGATGGAGAGAGACTAAGACAGATAGGGATAGACTGAGACAAGGAGATTGGGGAGAGAATGAGACAGGGAGATTTGGGAGAGAATGAGACAGATATAGACGGAGACAGGGAGAGAGATAGAGAGAAAGATGGAGAGACAGAGTCAGGGAGAGAGCTAGAGAGACAGAGACAGAGAGCTAGAGAGAAAGATGGAGAGAGACTGAGACAGAGAGCTAGAGAGAAAGATGGAGAGAGACTGAGACAGAGAGCTAGAGAGAAAGATGGAGAGAGACTAAGACAGATAGGGATAGACTGAGATAAGGAGATTGGGGTGAGAATGAGACAGGGAGATTTTGGAGAGAATGAGACAGATATAGACTGAGACAGGGAGAGAGATAGAGAGAAAGATGGAGCGATAGAGAGGGACAGACTGAGTCAGTGAGATTGGGAAGAGAATGAGACAGGGTGAAATGGAGAGAGACTGAGACACAGAGGGATAAACTGAGACAGAGTGAAAGATGGAGAGATACTGAGACAGAGGGATACAGAGATGGAGAGAGAAAGCAGTAGAGATAGAGAGACCGAGATAGGGGTAGATAGAGAGAGACTGAGATAGAGAGGGATACAGAGATGGAGCGAGACAGAGATAGAGAGACGGAGATAGGGGTAAATGGAGAGAGACTGCAACAGAGAGGGATGGAGAGAGACTCAGACAGAGGAATAAAGAGATGGGGAGAGAGACTGAGACAGAGGGGGGATACAGAGATGGAGAGAGACAGAGATAGGGGTAGATGGAGAGAGACAGACCCTTAGGGATAGAGAAATGGAGAGAGACTGGGACAGAGAGATTTAGAGAGACTACAGATAGAGGAATAGAGACCAATAGACAGACTGAGAGGGATTGAAAGATGGAGGAGAGACTGAGACAGGATTGGGGGACATAGAGGGGAGAAAGTTGAAGAGACTAATAATTTTACAGTGTATCCGCAGACCCCCACCAGGTGGTTATGGGATTTGTGTGGATTGGACTAATTTACAATTGACACCTTAAAGGCAGGTAATGTCTAGGTCTCCGTCCCTTAAATACCTACCAATCATAACAACCACTAGACCTAAAAGGTTACCCCAAAGCAAACCGCCCCCCCCTCTCCAAACCCTAATGTTACCTTACAGTGGTCCTCTTTGATGTCGTGTCTATTCTTGCAGTGGTTTAATAATAGTGCAATGATAAAAAGGCGATGTGATTAAAGGGGACATTTAAAAGGCACATTCTTAATGGCTGCATTTTAAATATATACTGCGTCTTACACTCCTCCACCAACACATCTGACAATTTATCGTATTAGAGATAAATTAAGAGCAACTGGTGCAGTGGTTAATACACCGAAATATGGATGTCCTAGGACGTCTATTACAGAGGAAATTGAAATGAGAGTTGCTTTGACATTTCTAAACAGTCTGAAAAAGTTCACAGCAGCTATCCATACCGAGAACGTCCTTGCAATGCTTAATACGTCAATGGAAGTTGATGCTGTACCGTCCAGGACTGTTACATGGTCTTCTGGAGGACAACCAAGACCATTGGTTGCAATTCTGTGAGATGATGCGTAACCAAACCTCTAACAAACCAGACCATCTTGATAAGATTATCTGGTCAGATGAAGCTTCTTTCAAATTGTCTGGCCATGTGAACAGGCATAAATGTTAGGGTTGTGCATGGGCAAAAAATTTGGTTCGGTTCGGAAATTCGGGTAAGAAAAATAATTCAGCAATTCGGTTTGGTTCGGCACTTCCGAAATTTGGGACTTCGGAATTCCGAACATCTGTAGGGCTCCCTAACTTTATCCCTACCCCTGTCATCACTCACGTAATTTTCCCTCCCTCTCTTGTTTTGCCACTTCTCAGAAATCCAAAGCACTTCGGCACTTCCGAAATTTGGTTCAGTTCGGGACTTAGGACATTTGGAAGCATCTGAATGTCCGAATTGCCCGAAATTCTTCCGAATTTACATGATGAACAAAAATTGCACATGTCTAAAAAATGTGTGTATTGGGCAGATGGAAACCCTCATTTGACAATCACATCTTAACGGAAACCAGCCAGGTGTCCTAGTTTGGGGTGCACTGTTCAACAAAACTGTGAATAGTAAAAATAACCTAAACTTGTTGCGTGACCTCCCACAACTCAGAACCAGGGCTAACTTCGTCAAACTGCTCTTCCAACAAGATAGGGCACCTCCCCATTATTCTTTTGCATTAAGGGACAACCTTGACAACACCTTCCTACAGCATTGGATCGGACGACGTGACAGCATTGAATGGCCACCATGTTCAACCAATTTAACACCAATTGATTTCTTTTTTTGGGGTGTAGTAAAGAATAAGGTTTTGAGAGGAACCCCAGACAATGGTCGAATTAAAAGAGTTCATTTCGGAAGCATTTATGGACATTGATGTGGACTGGAATTTGTGTCGTACTGTGTGTTACAGTGTACTGAACAGGTTTGAAGAATGTTGCAACGTTTGATGGAAGACATTTCGAGCACTTACGAGATTAAACAGTGTTAAGAAAAAAAAAAATGTAATAAACAATGTAATAAAATGCAAATAAACTAAACTGTATACCTATATTTGGGCCACCCTGTATATAACAGGCATACTGAGATAACCTGACAATGGGCGGAGCTTAAAGCACAGTTCTGTTTCAGTTACCAATCAGATTTACCTGAAATCCGTTAGTAAAATCAATCCTACAGAAGGCACACTGCAGGCATCATGTGCAGAGAGAACATGACAGCCGCTTGTGACATTCTATCCACAACTTATAGTTCTCGGTTTGTTTCTTTGACATTACAAACACTTTAACTTTTTAACTCTACTGTGTAGTCCTATCCATTGCCAAATTAGGGATCCTGTTTTTGGATTGTTTGCTCTATTTCTTTGTACACTGAACAAAATTATAAACGCAACACTTTTGTTTTTGCCCCCATTTTTCATGAGCTGAACTCAAAGATCTAAGACTTTTTCTATGTACACAAAAGGCCTATTTCTCTCAGATATTGTCCACAAATCTGTCTAAATCTGTGTTAGTGAGCACTTCTCCTTTGCCGAGATAATCCATCCACCTCACAGGTGTGGCATATCAAGATGCTGATTAGACAGCATGATTATTGCACAGGTGTGCCTTAGGCTGGCCACAAAAAAGGCCACTCTAGAATGTGCAGTTTTATCGCGCAGCACAATGCCACAGATGTTGCAAGTTTTGAGGGAGAGTGCAATTGGCATGCTGACTGCAGGAATGTCCACCAGAGCTGTTGCCCGTAAATTGAATGTCCATTTCTCTACCATAAGTTGTCTCCAAAGGCGTTTCAGAGAATTTGGCAGTAGATCTAACAGGCCTCACAACCGCAGACCACATGTAACCACACCAGCCCAGGGTCTCCACATTCAGCATTTTCACGTCCAAGATCGTCTGAGACCAACCACCCGGACAGCTGCTGCAACAATCGGTTTGTATAACCAAAGAATTTCTGCACAAACTGTCAGAAACTGTCTCAGTGAAGCTTATCTGCATGCTCGTCATCCTCACCGGGTTCTCGACCTGACTGCAGTTCGTCGTTGTAACTGACTTGAGTGGGCAAATGCTCAGATTCGATGGTGTCTGGCACTTTAGAGAGGTGTTCTCTTCACGGATGATTCCTGGTTTTCACTGTACAGGACAGATAGCAGACAGTGTGAGCAGTTTGCTGATGTCAACATTGTGGATCGAGTGGCCCATGGTGGCGATGAGGTTATGGTATGGGCAGGCGTATGTTATGGACAACGAACACAGGTGCATTTTATTGATGGCATTTTGAATGCACAGAGATACCGTGAGATTGTTGTGCCATTCATCCACGACCATCACCTCATGTTGCAGCATGATACTGCACAGCCCCATGTTGCCAGGATCTGTACACAATTCATGGAAGCTGAAAACATCCCAGTTCTTTCATGTCCAGCATACTCACCGGACATGTCACCCGTTGAGCATGTTTGGGATGCTCTGGATCGGCGTATACGATAGTATGTTCCAGGTCCTGCCAATATCCAGCAACTTCGCACAGCCATTGAAGAGGAGTGGACCAACATTCCAAAGGCCACAATCAACAACCTGATCAACTCGAAGGAGATGTGTTTCTTGAGGCAAATGGTGGTCACACCAGATACTGACTGGTTTTCGGACCCCCCCAGACCCTCCCAATACAGTAAAACTGCACATTTTAGAGTGGCCTTTTATTGTGGCCAGCCTAAGGCACACCTGTGCAATAATCATGCTCTCTAATCAGCATCTTGATATGCCACACCTGTGAGGTGGATGGATTATCTCGGCAAAGGAGAAGTGCTCACTAACACAGATTTAGACAGATTTGTGAACAATATTTGAGAAAAATAGGTCTTTTGTGTACATAGAAAAAGTCTTAGATCTTTGAGTTCAGCTCATTAAAAATGGGGGCAAAAACAAAAGTGTTGTGTTTATAATTTTCTTCAGTGTATATTGCTATAATCAGGATACTATCATAGCTGACAAACCAGCAAAGTCTATAAACAGTCTGAGGGGCGAATTGCTATATATAAATATAAGGTGGAAGCCTGAAATTGTGGGAGGGGTTATTCGGCATAGATAGCCTGAACACCCTCCCCTTACCTGCCGTCGCATTCTCAAAGTTGTGCTAGCATTGCCAGTTCAACTTTGTTTGAGGGGGCTCTCTACGCTTCCCCGGAATTTAGCAAGTCCCGCCTTGGTATGGAATTGCTTGTGCTACAGCTTAGTTCTATAAGTAGATGCTTTTTTGATTGGCAAATTTCCAGCCGACTCAAAGCTTTTAGCGGCTACTACACTAACTGTGAGTAGTCGTTCACAATATATAATGATTACCTGTCTGTTATGAGCCTTGTTGGTTTCATTCACACTATATGAGCACACGTTGAAATCGCTCTTCTTACCTAATATTTTTTTCCGGATCGGCAATGGCAGTTTGCTTGTACTTGCTGGTGGCCTCATTTAGCCTCACGTATTATCTCACGTTACGTTCGCTAACTAAGATTTT